TGCATATGTGTGTGCCTCCTTTGCTGAAAATATACGCGCACATGAGTGCGAGGGTCCTTTTTGCGCAGGGTCAGTATAATCGGGACGACCGCATCTGCAATATAGTTTCTTCCTCGGTGCTGTGCAATCTCTACGGTGCAGCCCTAGCTCAGCTTCCTGCCTGCGCCGGGGGGCGGGGCTGGAGCCATGGATACAAACCTGAGCGTTCATTTGCACCCGCTGGTGCTGATCAACATATCCTAAAGGCCTTTAGGCGTTTTCCGCCGAGCCCCACCAGCAGTCGAACGAGAAGCCAAGGGGAAAGAGGACGTACGTCTACAGAGGAAGTAGGAAAACGAGAAAGGGAAGATGGCGAGGAGGAGGAGGAAGAGAAGGGCGGGGAGGAGGACAATGAAGAAGAATAGCATGCAAATTTCGACGTCCGCGCGAAATTGCGCTTTGCGTGAAACCGTTCTTCGATCCTGAGGCTAGTCCGTGAGGTGAGACCAGGGATCCACCTCGCGTTGGCTCGAAGATGCTGCATCAGCAGAAACGTTCGCAGGTCCGTGCAGATTTCTCGCGTCGGCGCTGGGGGGGGGCGCTGGGGGGGTGTCCAGCGCCGACCCAAGAAATCCGCGCGGAGCCCCGAGAGTGTATGCTAGTGGCGTTTTCTGCTCCTTCAGAGGCGAGCCGGTAAAATGAGACCGCGGACTCACCTCGCAGGGCCGCCTACGATCTAATGCGAAGCGATTCGATTCACCGGCTGGGGCCACGATTACGATCCGATCCGATTCGGAACGATCCACCAGCATCGGCTGGTGCCAACCGCAGCTGGGCGCGGTGATCCGATGTCGATCTGGCTCAGGACGACTCCATGGTGATTCGATGCGCTTCCGATCCGATCCGACCTCACGGCTTGATTCTACAGTCGAGCATATGATTGTGAAATTCCCCCCCCCGAATATCAAGAGGGAGAAAAACACAGACACAATGAATCGTCGACTCCCAGAAAATATGGGAACATATGGGAAGTGGGGGGAAGACAAACCTCCAGAAAATATGGGGAATCCTGTTATTTGTGTGTGTATTTGTTTGTGTGTCCCAGGGCCCCTTCCGAAAAGCTGGGCCAGCATTTCGTAACCAACTTGCCAGAGAGCCGGCCCACGTTCTGGAGCGCGCCCGCCCCTCCAGCCGTCACACCAGCACTTGGCCCAGGCCTGTCTCCTCAGGAGGGGGAAAAACACACAGACACAAGTATTCGTCGATCCCCAGGAGAATATTGAAAAATATGGGAAGTGTGTGGGGGGGCAAAAACACAGAAAACATGGGAAAATATGGGGAATCCTTCTATGTGTGTGTGTATTTATTTGTGTGTCCCAGGGCCCCTTCAAGCACTTGGCCTAGGCCTGTCTTCGGACGCTCCCGGGAAGCAGGCCCAGGCGCCTGGCATCAAAATGGTCTTCAGCAGATGTTCGGCTGCAGCTCCCGGCGGCGCGCACGAAGGGGCAGGGGCAGGGGGGAAGGCTCCTTGGAAGCACCCCTGCTTCTCAGAGGGCGCGGGCCTTGTCCGCAGAGGCAGGGCTGGCCCCTTCCTAAGCAGCAGCCTCCTTCTGAGAAGCCCCCCCCCCCCCTCCCCCTACGCCCTTGCGCGTGCCGCCACAGCTTGGGGAACGAAGAATGACGTCAAGATAAAAAAACTCGGAGGCCCGCGCGCATTCCTCGGATCGGCGCTGGACCCCCTTCCCCGCCGCGCGGAGCGCGCCGGGGGCGGCGCCGGAAGCGCCGCCAGGGTGCCCCAGCGCCGATCCAAGAAATCCGCAGGAACCTAAAAGAAAAACAAAACAAAACATATAGCAAATCCGCGCGAACCTCCGACCTTTTTTGTGTTTAGCTCATAATGCGTTCCCGTAGAAGCTCAGGCGGGGCAGCAGAAGGCGCCCCGCAGGCCCCGAAAGGGCGCGCCCGCACCGGCGCGCCCGGCGGCTCCGACCACGTCGTGCGCTCCCGCGCCCTCGAGCGCCAAGGCGAGCCCAGACAGCGCCCCGCCCCCGCGCCTCGCTGGGCCTGCCTCTCTCGGGGCCCCTCGGGGGCAACGATTGGGGGGATAGGCACGGAGGGTTTCTCCGAAGGGCTTAGGCGACCCGTCCTCCTCCTCCTCCTCCTCCTCCTCCTCCTCCTCCTCCTCCTCCTCCTCCTCCTCCTCCTCCTCCTCCTCCTCCTCCTCTCCTCCCCTCCTCCTCCTCCTCCTCCTCCCCTCCTCCTCCTCCGCCTCCTCCTCCTCCTCCTCCTCCTCCTCTCCTCCTCCTCCTCCTCCTCCTCCTCCTCCTCCTCCTCCTCCTCCTCCTCCTCCTCCTCCTCCTCCCCCGCCTCCTCCTCCTCCTCCTCCTCCTCCTCCTCCTCCTCCTTCTCGGGTCGCAGCTGGTTTGGCCCAAGTGTCGCCTCGCTGGGTCGCTCGCACCTCCCGCGGTGCCGCCGATGCCGCTGGCGAAGCACGCCCTGGAAGCCGCCCGGGGGGCGGCCCCCAGGCGCCCGCAGCAGGGCTGTCGGGCGGCGTGGAGCAGCGCGAGGCCTCGCGCTTACTCCGCGCCGCCGAGGGCCTCGTGAGGGCCGCGGTGGCAAGCTTGGCGGCGCCGCTGCGCCCGCCGCGGCCCCATGGCGGCGGCGGCGGCGGCCGCCGCGCGGCGAAGGTGGCGTGGCGAAGGACGTTGTCGCTGGCATGGACATCGAGGTGTTCGACGAGGCGCAGGGGGAGGCGCAGGTCGTTGGCGGCGCTGGCGCGGCGGGCGCTGCGGCGCGGGGCGGTGCCCCAGTCGGTTCCGCAGCTTCCCGCGACGGTGCTGGCCGCGTCGGACCTCGAGTCCGACGGCTGGACCGACGGCCTGGTGAAGGCTGCGCCTGGCGAGGAGCCGCCGGGCTTGCGGAATGAGGACTGAGTGCGTCTCCCTGATAGTCGAGTGGGGCTCGTCTACGGTGACCCCATCACGGGCCGCGTCACGGTGGAGGAGGGTTGCGTCACGGTGCTCTTCGGCAAGGGCCGCAAGGCCAGGAATGAGCAGGCCCCCTCTGCGTGCTGGTGAAGGTGCAGGGCAGGGCGATGGCCGACGTGGCCGCGCTGCTCTTCGGCACGTTTTCGAGCTCGTCTGAGCTCAAGGCTAGCGGCCGTGCCCTGTCGTCCTCAGCGCCGTCTTATATTATCTTATCCTTGTCGGGTCGACTACGGCCCCGGGGGAAGCCGCGCAGATAGGCACAGGGGGGACGCATCGACCCCCAATCGCCCATTGATCAACGATAGGGGCCCAATAGCCCCAACCTGCCCAGGAACGTGCGGATTCACTATCGGGGGCCTATCGCCGATCTGTCGGCGATGTATCGCTGCTTACAGGTCGATGTTTCCGCCCCTATGCCAGTCCCCCCCGCGTCGCCGCCGCGGGTCCCGCGCCGCCGCCGCCGCCGCCGCCGCCGGGCGAGTTCTTCGTCGTGCCCTTGCGCGCTCCGTCGCGCTCAGCCGGTCGCGCGACTGCAGCCAGAAGGAGATGTTCGCGCCCCCTATCGTTGCGCCTCAGCCCCTCCCGCCGGGCTCTGCATCAGGGGGCAAGAGGAGCGGCATGAATCTAGGCCTTCTGGATTGGGATCGTTGTTATATACATTGTTTTGCCGACCGGAACGGGCCCTCGCACCCCCCCTCCCCTCTCCGCGGAGTAGACCGTGGCTGTTTCTAGTGCCTGCTTCGAGCAGGTCGAGTCTCCCCCGTAGGACGCACGGACCCAAACAGTCGCACTAAGCAGAGGTCTGGAGCCCAAACCCCCCCTCTCTCCACCCTTGCCGCCCAATTTCGAAACGCCGAATTCAAAAAACGTTCACAAGGGGTCGGAGTAGATAGGGTCGGGGGATCGCTCCGCATCGCCGATGCATCGGCGATGCATCAGCGATGCGGCTCGATGTGGGGCTCATTTTTTTCCACGCCGACGTCGCAAATGCATCGCCGGCGTCGCCGCTGCATGGCCGATGCATCGCCAATGCATCGGCGATGCATCGCCGATGTATCGGAGATGCGGCGGGATCCTCCGACCCCATCTACTCTGACCTTCTTTAGGAGGCCTCTAATGAGACCACTGTGCGACGCCAAAAAAGGTGTCGTCTGCGCCGGCATTCGCGCGTGAGCTGCCCGCGCACGGTAGGTTCATGCGGCGATGGCGCGGGGGGGACGCCAGCGAAGGCGTTACAGGTGGAATTCTGCGACGCGGAAGCACCGAGAGACACGGTGACGCCCCTGGACCCGACGGAATTCAACCTTGAACGGTCGGGGCCGCGATCGATTCCAAGGTGGAACGATCGATGCGGTGTGAATACCGTCTGCGCGCGCCGAGGCCGCACGGGCTTGCCGGAAGGCCGCGTGGGAGCGCCCTCGCTTCCAATGCAGCGCGCCGTGCCGGCTGCCCGCGGGAGCTGCGGCGTAGGGTCGCCTTGCTGTCTGGCGTAAGACCCGTTTCTCGGTCGGGGGCGGTTGTCCCAGGGCGGCTCGGAAATTTCTAGTTACCCTCTCTTGCCACCGCTGGGGTTTCGTAAACATGTTGCATATCCACGACCATTTCATATTTATATACACACACACATTCCAGCCACCTGGGGGCCTCCGATGGCGGAGACGTCTATCCCGCAGTCTCGCGGGCGCACCGCCCGTGGCGTCTGTTCGCGGACGCCCCGCGTGGATCCGCGCAGCCGCGCCCAGGAATCTCGCCCTCCTCGCTCTCCTCGTCCTCCTCCTCCTCCTCCTCCTCCTCCTCCTCCTCCTCCTCCTCCTCCTCCCCCTCCTCCTCCCTCTCCTTCCCTTCTTCCTTCTCCTCCTCCTCCCCCTCCCCCTCCTCCTCCTCCTCCTCCTCCTTTGGCTCAAGTCCTCGGCCTCTGGGGGCCGAGGACACCACAGCATTTCACTCCTGGTCAGGTCCAGGAGCTTGGGGCTCGAACATTTCGCGTTCGCTTCCGCCCCCAGAATTTTTCGGATCATTCCCCACCAGTCTGCCATGCCTGCCACTCTTGCGAAGGCGCACCTCTCCTTCGTGATCTGCGGGCATGTCGACATCGGCGAGAGCACCACCACCGCCCGCCTCAACTACGACCTGGGCGGCCTTCCGCAACGCGAGCCGGAGAAGCTCAAGGAGGAAGTCGTATGCCTAGTACCAGGCCCCATCGCCTTCACGTTCTACATGGACCGTCAGAAGGAGGAGCACGAGTGCGGGGTGACCAGCGCCTGCACCACCCAAGACTTCTACACCGAGAAGTGGCACTACACAGTCGTCATCGATGCCCCAGGCCATCGCAATATCAACAAGGTCGAAACCTGCAGAAGAAGGCTGCCAGCATGGGCTGGTGGAAGGGCTGCAATGCCAAGTACGGCAAGGACTGCGCCACCCACAGATACAAGCAGTTCCGCTATGCCGAACTCGGAAACACATGAAGTTCATGTTAGTCAAGGACGAGTGGTACAAGGACTTCGAAGAGAAGAAAACGCCTGCGATGCCAGTCTCCGGCTGGATGGGCGACTACATGCTAACGAAGTCTGACAACATGGACTTGTGGAAGGAATGCGTCGGCGAGTACGGCAAGGCCCGCGCCATGCAAAACATCCATCATAAGTCTGGATGGTTTTACCTTTCTCCGCTTGCCGCCTGAGGCAAGCCATGCTGCAATTAGGGCTCGCTCCTGGCCTTTGCATTCCGCTGCCCATTGGTGCATAAGAATCGTGGGAGAGGCCCGTGGGATTAGTCTTCCCCGCTCTCGGTGATGAGCCGTGGTCTGCATCCGTGTTGTTTTGAATTTCTTGTCTTGTGCACTATTGCGGCGTGCGCCCGTGCAGTCGTCTTGTTTCTAAGTGGCACTGTGCTTAGTATGTGTTGCCCAGTCGATCAAAGCTTGTAAAAGACAGACCGTAGAAGTCAGTAAATCAGGTTGAGAGCTTCCCAAAAGGGTGGTGCTTCCTTGAAAATCATGCACGGCAGCCCTGACAGAAGGGAGTGGCTCGGCGATTGGAGCTCCGCCGAGTCCTACGGCCCATCCCCACAGCGGGATCCCTGGCCGCGGGCGGCTAGTAGTCACCAGGCGAACGCCCCCTCCACCACGCGCTAGTCCTCCTCCTCCTCCGCCTCCTCCTCCTCCTCCTCCTCCTCCTCCTCCTCCTCCCCCCGCTTCTTCTTTTTCTTGTTCGTTCTCCTCCTCCTCCTCCTCCTCCTCCTCCTCTCCCCGTTTCTTCTTCTTCTTCTTCTTCGTCTTCTGCCGCGAGGGCGCGGATGCGGATATGTTCGCCGCTCGTGAGGCCCCGTGCACCCGTACCGACACCGCTACCCTTGCCTCGTTTTCGCTTAGTTGGGCCTTTCTGGGAGGCCCTCGTCGCCACCGCTGTATTCCTCGAAGTTCTGGTCTGACCACACTCCGGGAGAGGCGCAGGGAGTAGCAGTATCGATATCTTTGAGTTTCCCCGGTTGGGCCTGCTTCTCTTTGGGCTCTCCTGGGTCGGTCTCTAATGGGTTCGGGCATTTGCTCGGACTTGTTTGTGCCGGCCCTGGCGCTTTTCCATCAGCTCGGGGTCGTTGGGGCAATGAAAAGCACCACAGTTGGGTCTAGTTTGAGGGTCGACGCCACATAATCAAGGATACTTCAGTGTCCTGTCCATCGCATCTCGCGCTCTCTCCATGTCTATAGGAAGTGTTGCCCTCAGAGAAGTCTTGCGTCCTCTCGGGCGTCCTCTGCAATCAGTCCCGTCTGCGCTCAGGGTGAAGTCTGGCGCCGGGGGGGGGATCGGGATCCCCGGGGGGGGCGCCCACGTGGCGAAACTGTTACGAAGCTGGGGGAGAGGGCCAGTCAGGTGTTGCCCGTGTGGATAGAGCTCACTTATCGTAGCACGCGGGGTGCCGATGGCGACACAGCTACCGCCCCCCACACATCCCAGGGATCCCCCTAGATTCCACGAGATCCCCCACCCAAAGGTTCCCGGAAGGACCCCCTTCCGTTCCAATTCGCCTGGTGTTGTAGTCATGTATGTTTGTCTCCAGCTAGCTTGTACATGTCCGCATTGTGTCAGCATGCATATTGCGTTCCTGCACCTTGCCATCAGCATGCATATTGCTTGGGAATTGCTGGCAGCCACTTTGCCATCGATTGGTATTGCTTATGGTTTGTTTGATGTGAGTTCGCTGGCCTGCCGCCCGGCTGCTTCGCATTACTTTCAATCGAACTATGGTTCGCACACCCTGAGTAAATCTCTGGACGCCCTTGTCAGGCTACCTTGGCATTGCGTGGATATTGTCTTTCGCTTGCTTCTTAATTCCCTTTACCAGCCTGCAGTTAGATTCCATCAATGTTTGCGTTTATATTGCCTTATCTTGCATCCTGCTTACCCGTAACTACCATCTAGGATGCAATCAGAGGGGTACCAGGTTTGCATTGTGCTATCATGCAAAATCTGATCTTCCCTTCCCCCAGTTTCCTCACCCTGGAAGAGGAGAGGCGGGGAGGTTTGGAGATGACCTGCGCCTGTGACCCATCGCCCGCGCCAGGGCGTGTACTTGGCGCCGTGATCGGCGCGCAGGAGGGGCGTCGGGTCGACTTCCACAACTCTTTCGAGCTCATCCTCGAGGCGCCTTTCATTAGCATTTTTGGCACATGTTTCGCGAGCAGTAGTTTGCGCGGCTCTGCGCCACTTGTACGGCTCGCTGACTGCGTTCCTCCCCCTCCCTGTCTCATACATGTATATATATATAGATATATATATATGTATGTATACGCACACAATCACAAGTGGTACGTGCGTGCCAAGGCTCATACATTACGAATTGCAACACGTAAGCGTCGCAGAACATGGACAAAAAGGGGAATATGAATCCGGATCCGAGGAGGAGAAGGAGGGAGATGGAGAAGCGAGATAAGGAGGATAATGAGGATCACCAGGGGGCTGTTGGGAAGGAGGTGCAACAGCGGGACCGCATTTGAACGCAGACGGGGTTGCCACACCTTGCGATGTGTGTAGCGCAGGAGGATGTTCCACACCTTGCGATTATAGTGGACAAGAAGCTCCGCAGCCAATATTGGACGATGTCTCGAACGACACTGTCGTTTTGAAGACTATTAAGACAACTTTGAATGCGCCGGGTGTTTATTTTTTGGGAGGGGTATATCACGGGGTATCTCACGCGAAACATCTGTTTGTCTAAGGGCGACGTCCAAAATCATTGAAATCCAGTGTGGTTTCGAAGGTGTTGTTGGAAAGCATTGCAAATCTGGTGTGTGTGCTTGTGAGTTTGGACCCTGGCGTCCCGATCTGCGTGAGGGGTGCGGTCGATTTTAAGAATGCTACGGATGTCCCGAGCGAAGGGGCCAAACAAATCGCGAACGGGACCTTCAAATAATCGCCTCTGAGCTTGAATCCCCAAGAGAGGCGCCTATGATGGTACGCACATGTGTATATACATGTACATACATATATATATATATATATATATATATATATATGAAAGAGCGTGTTCTACCGCTGCTGGCGGAAAACCGGGGGGGGGGGTCACTACCGGTTCGACCCTCTCCCCGCCCCCATCCTCTCCGGAAAACCGGGAGGGTCACTACCAGTTCGAACCCCTCCCCCCCCCCCCCAGTTCATCATGAAAAGGAGGGGGGTCACTACGGTTCGAACCCACCCCCCCCCCTCGAAAACCGGGGGGGGGTCACTACCGGTTCGAACCCCCCCCCCCCTCGAAAACCGAGTGGGGGTGCGGACAGTGGTGGGGACGGTGTTGGTGGGGACAGTGGTGAGGGGATAGCGGGACAGTGGTGGGGACAGTGGGACAGTGGGACAGTGGTGGGGACGGTAGTGGTGGGGACAGTGGTGGGGACAATGGTGGGAACAGGGAGGGACAGTGGACAGTGGTGGTGACGGTGGTGGTGGGGACAGTGGTGTGGGGACAATGGGAATGAGGTGGAAACAGTGGGACAGTGGAGGGTACAATGGTGGTGGGGACAGTGGTGAAGGCGGTGGCGAGGACGGCGGTGGGACAATGGGACAGAGGTACAGTGGGGACAGTGGTGGGGACAGTGGGGACACTGGTGGGAACAGTGGGACAGCTCAGTGGGACAGCGGAGGAGTCAGTGGGACAGTGGGGACAGTGGGGATAGTCGGGCAGTGGTTGGGGCCGTGGAGACAGTGGGGAGAGTGGAACCGTGGTGGGAACAGTTCTGGGGACAGCGGGGACAGTGCGACAGTGGTGGGGGCACTGGTGGGGACAGTAGGGACGGTGGTGGAACCAGTGGGGACAGTGGTGGTGAGGACAGTGGTGCTGGGAACAACAGTGGGGGATGTGATGCGGACGGTGGTAGGGACCGGGAGTCGTTTGCTGGCGGTGCGTGGGGGGGGGAGGGGTTCGAACCGGAGTGATCCCCCTCCGGTTTTCGAGGGGGGGGGGGTTCGAACCGGTAGTGACCCCCCTCGGTTTTCCGGATCCGGAGGGGAAGGGGGGGGGGGCCTCGAACCGTAGTGACCCCCCCCGGTTTTCGAGGGGAGGGGGGGCGGGGGGGGAGGGGTAGTGGAGGGGGGGGAGGGTTGGGGAGGGGGGGGGGGGGGGGGGAGGTGGGGGGGGCAGGGGGGGGAGGATGGCCAGGGGGGGGGGCACGAGGAAAAAAATTGCAAATTCCACAGTAAAGCGGGGTGGCTCACGCTCTCTCTCTCTCTCTCTCTCTCTCTCTCTCTCACATATATATACATACATATATGTATATATATATATATATATATATATATATATATATACATATATATATACATATATGTTTAGAGATGTAGACATATGTAAACATATCTACATATATATATGTGGATACATAGGTATGAACACATATGTATATATTACACATATATCTCCTGGCCCACACAGATGTGTAGCCCCCCCTCACGCCAAACCCACCCCCCCCCGAACCCCCAGGAAGGCCCCAGACAATCCTCAAGATGGCCCAGGATTGCTTGAGTTCGCTCTGGGAAGGCCCCAAGGGGCTGCAGATCGCTTCAAGCTGGCTCCCCAGATGCCCTAAGAAGGCTCCCAAGACGGCCCAGGGTTGATTTCGCATCAGGGAGGCCCCAAGACGCTGCACAGTACTTCATGTTGGCTCTCAAGATGCCCCCAGATAGGCCCCAAGATGCAAAATGATCCGGGGAAGGACCCAAACAAATGCAGTTGTACGCACCGCGTTGTGGCACCGCTGTCCGTGGAGCTCCCTATGGGTCCACGAACCCTGTGAGGGGTGCGCCAAAATGAGGCGGCGCCGCCATGCGAATCCTGCCACTGGGGCCTTCGGTGGGATTCCCTATGGGCCACGAGCCGTGTGATTGGTGCGCCAAAATAGGGCGGCGCCGCCATACGAACTTTGCCACGGGGACCTCCGGTGGAGCTCTCCTCGGGGTCACGAACCGTGCGAGGGGTGCGCCAACATGGAGCGGCGCCGCCATGCGAACTTTGCCACTGGGGCCTTCGGTGAAGCTCCCAATGGGGACAGGAACAGTGTGAGGAATGTGCCAGGCCAAAAGTAATTCTCTGGAGAGATAGCTGGCTCCCAGGGAACAGTGTTGATTCTCCGGGTAAGAGTGGCCAAATGCCGAGTCGGTTGGTTCTCCGGGTGAGACCCTTACAGGTTTTTTACCCAAGCAAAAACACACCAACATCCAAACACCACGCACCAAACCCCAAACCCAGATTCCAAAAAGCACCAACCACCAAACACCAAAACCCAAAGTGAGCGTTTTTTGTATTAATTCTTTTGCCGATCGGCGCTGGCCCTCGCACCCCCCCTCCCCCCTCCCCCGTGGAGTAGATCTTGGCTGTTTCTGGCGCATGTTCCGAGCAGGTAGAGTCTCCCACATAAGACTCACGGTTCTAAACAGGCGCACGAAGCAGAGGTCCCGAGCCAGACCTTCCCCTTCGTCCTCCTCTTCCGCCCAATGTCGAAACGCCGAATAATTAGCCTTCGGAGATCGCCTTCGGTGGATCTGGTTATGGTGCCACGAAGCGCGTGAAGAGTGTGTCGAAATGGGTCGGGGCCGCCATGCGGGCGCTGCTACTGGGGCCTTAGGTGGAGCTCCCTTTCTGGGGCCACGAAACGTGTGAGGGGTGTTCCAAAATGGGGCGGCGCAGCCATGCGGACTGCGCCACTGGGACCTCAATTGGACCTCCCTGTGGGGCCACGAAACATGTGAGGGGTGTACCAAAATGAGGCGGCGCCGCCATGCGGACTGCGCCATGGAACCTTAGGTGGAACTCCCCGTGGGGCCACGAAACGTGTGAGGGTATACCGAAATGGGACGGCACCGCCATGCGAACTGCGCCACTTTGACCTTAAGTGGAGCTCCCTGTGGTGCCACGAAGTGTGTGAGGTGTGTGAAATGGAGCGGCGGCGCCATGCGAATTGCGCCACTGGGACCTTGGGTGGAGCTCCCTGTGGGGCCACGAAGCGTGTGAGGGCTGTGCCAAAATGGGGCGACGCCGCCGTGCGAACCCTGCCAATCGAGCCGCCGGTGGAGTTCCCCATGGGGCCACGAACGGTGTGAGGGTTGCGCCAAAATGGGGCGGCGCCGCCATGCGAACCCTGCCACTTGGGCCGTCGGTGGAGCTCCCCATGGGGCCACGAAACGTGTGAGGGGTGCGCCAAAATGGAGCGGCGGCGCCATGCGACCCCTGCAACTGGGCTTCGGTGGAGTTCCCTATAGGGCCACGAACCGTGTGAGGGGTGCGCCAACATGGAGCGGCGCCGCTATGCGAACCCTGACACTTGGGCCGTCGGTAGAGCTCCCTGTAAGGCCACCAACCCTGTGCGAAGGGGTGCGCCAACATGGGGTGGCGCTGCCATGCGAACCCTGCTAGTTGGGCCTTCGGTGGAGCTCCCCATGTGGCCACGAACCGCGTGAGGGGTGCGCCAAAATGGGGCGGCGCCGCCATGCGAACCCTGCCACTTGGGCCGTCGGTGGGGCTCCCCATGGGGCCACGAACAGTGTCGGCGTTGCGCCCAAATGGGGCGGCGCCGCCATGCGAACCCTGCCACTGGGGCCTTCGGTGCAGCTCCCTATAGGGCCACGAACCGTGTGCAAGGGTGCGCAAACATGGGGCGGCGCCGCTATGCGAACCCTGCCACTGGGGCCTTCGGTTGGAGCTCCCCCATAGGTCCACGAATCGTGTGAGGGGTGCGCGGAGCGGCGCCGCCATGCGAACCTTGCCACTTGGGCCGTCGGTGGGGCTCCCCATGTGTTTACGAATCGTATGAGGGGTGCGCCAAAATGTGGCGGCGCCGCCATGCGAACCCTGCCACTTAGGCCGTCGGTGGAGCTCCCCATGGGTCCGAGGGGTGCGCTGACATGGAGCGGCGCCGCCATGCGAGCCCTGCCACTTGGGCCGTCGGTGGAGCTCCCCATCGGTCCACGAACCGTGCGAAGGGTGCGCCAAAACGGGCCGCCGCAGCCATGCGAACCCTGCCATTTGGGGCGTCGGTGGTGCCCCCCATGGGGCCACGAACTGTGTGAGGGGTGCCCCAACATTAAGCGGCGCCGCCATGCGAACCCTTCCATTTTGGCCATCTGTGGGCCTCCCCATAGAGCCACTCAAACTGTGA